TGTCCTCGTCTTTGCCGCCATATTTATTACAGCGTTTCGGTCGTTGTACGCTCCGGCCTGCTTCACGTGGTTGGAACGTCGAACTGAACCCTTTATTTTGCTCACTGGGGTAGACTGTTCTAGTTCCACGTACCATGTTTAATGGATGTCAGTTATCAGTTATCTCCTGTTAATTCCCATCTCCAAGTTCTCCAATGCCTTAACCGGGTATTGAACTCACACTTTTTGGGTTCTGTCACTGGATCTAACGAACGCCTTTATCCACTGTGTCATGTCTCCTTGTAAACAGTGTACATAATACGTCATCTCAGAAATATAGACAAATCATGAAAATATCATAAAAATCCGACAATTATTTGATTTTTGCAAGAATTTCCTAATCTTTTTTAGAAGTGATTTGATTAAAAATGGAGGTACCAACTCTATAGGCCTGAAAACGTATCCTCATCTTAATCGTGTTTTTTTTTCTTTATGTTATTATTTATCATCGTATCCGTTTTAGATTTTATATATCCTGCTGATATTCGACTGCAAGCTGTGTATTTTTCTTGTTGAAGATTAATCGAATATTTTAAATTAAACCTTTTCTAGTATTTCAAGTAGTTCTTCGCGTTTAAAAAAAACACTTACAAAAATATTATAGCAATATATTCATTAATATAGCGTTAAAAAAAGAGCTTTAAACGCCTCACGTGTTCAGTAACATGACATGATTAACTGAGATCACAGCAATTTATTTAATCTATAAAACATAGAAATACTTCTTTCTGCATTTTCGCTGCTCGGTCTAATAGCATTCGGATCATAAACAATAGAATTTCTTGTTCCCGTGCCTTTAACATAGCAACAGTATTCTTGCTCTATTACTAGTCTGCTACAAGTTCTGTTCATGAGAATGCTAATAAGTTTAGGCAATTCTGAGAGAACAAGAAATTTTACCAGGATTCATCATTGGATACGCAGATGACACAATGCTAATAGAAGACATGAAAAGGAAACTACAAAGCATCCTACAGAAAGTAGCAAAGGAGAGTGTGAAGAAGGGACTAAGCATAATCTGCAAGAAGACATCAGCAAAAAGATGAGTCCTAAATGCAGTTTACAGGTCGGGGTCACTAAAATCAAGCAGGTGCGGAAATTTAAATATCTGGGAATTGTTCTGACAGAGGACGGTAAGTGCGACGCTGAGATCCAAAGATGCATTGGGATGGCCAAAGACGCATTCCAAAAGCTAGGCAGAGTATTAAGAGACTGGAGGGTTACGTTAAGAAAAGAGCACTGAACTGCTGTCTGATATCTGTCCTCCTTTCACGGTAGCGAATGTTGGACAATTTCCCCAAGGATGAAGAGACTGGAGGCAACAGAGGTGTGGTTTCACAGAAGGATATTAAAGATACCATGGACCGAACATGTGAGCAACGATGAGGTTTTGGAGAGGATTCAAGCAAACAGAAAACTTATACTTAACATCAGGAAGAGGCAACTGGAATTTTGAGGATACGTAATGAGAAAGGAAGGCTTGGGAAATCTGATACTCACAGGGCGGATAGAGGGAAAGAGGGACAAGTGAAAGCAACGCGTGACATTCTTAACGGGCTTAAGCAAGTCGATGGCAGAACAGGGCCTGGGAGAAATAACAAAAAGACAAAACTTATTGATAGCTACAAGGGACAGGAGGAGGTGGAGAGCCGCGATCGCCTACGTCATGAAAGCGCAAGACACATAAAAGAAGAATAGGTGGCTCACGAAGCTGATTGTCTGAGGGAGTTCGCATTCATTGGCATCTGGCTTCTTTTACACCGCTACGAAGATAGATGCACTGAGATTTTAGAGTATTTCGCCGTTGTCATGCATACGGTTTGGTAAGTTTATCACTCACTTATTCTTATATGATTCTCAACCTCTTTGTTACAGTTTCATCTGGTTGTGCTGTTTCGTTTCATGTTGGTATATATCGAGCTTATCACCGAATTTAGTATTAACTATCTATCTATGACATTATAGTGTGTTTTGTAAGCGTAGCTTAGATATGGCACAAGGCCTCTTCCATGACTTTATGCATTTATTTTAGTCATCTCCGTTGATATGGAATATTTCTCTGAGATGTACGTTCCATCTTTGTAGTATCTTGTTATTTTTTTATCTTATGATCGTTTAGATTTCATATATCCTGTTGAAGAGGATATTTTCTGTCTTGCTATTTATTTTCCTATCTCTACACATTTCTCGTTGGGTCCCTCATCTTTTGCTTGCCTGCATTTAGTTATAATGTTTTTACGTAATGTCTTATATTCTTTACGGTTCTTTGGCATTAAATCCTGTCTCTTTTTCATTACAGCATCACGATTCCTTTACTGCCTTGCATTTGCAACGTGAAGATTGTCATTGTAATGCAAGAACATCTATTGACTTTCTTGTGTGGCGAAGAAGATTTCCTGTTCCAATGTCAAGTGGGCCAATGGATCACTGTTAATACCCGCAGTGATACGTTGTCTAAAGAATTCAGATTGAATTTCACTAAAAGAGAAAAAGACCTTTTTTTTTATTAAGGTGCTGATGATGCCGTGAACTGAGCAGGTGTCCAATGGTGAAGCTTTAGAGAAAATGGAAGCAAAAGGGAGACATATACTAAACAAACGATACAGTGGAAATCTCTATGGAACATTATGAGGAAAGAGGGTTGAGAAAATATAACACTCACAGGACAGTGAAGACAAGGGAGTCATAAAATATCTAACGAGCTTGTGTAAATGGTTAACACGACAGTGATTAAGAGAGATAGCAAAAACACAAAATTTGTTAAGAGCTACAAAGTACCTGAAATTGTGGGGGAGCCATGATCGCCCACGTCTGGTAGGGACACGGCACATAGAAGAAGATGAAGATGTATTTAATTTCATATCCTTTTTTATCAGATGAAGTAGTTTCGAATTGGAATAAGGTAGCGGCTTGGATTGAGGAATCGGAGAGCCGAGTTCGAATTCCAGTCGAATCCATTACACTCACTTACGTGCTATCAATCCTCGTCTTCTTCCACCAGCTATCGGTAAATAGCAGGAGAGACCGAGTTCTGTAGCCTTGGATGTCAACTGGTCTACCACAGAAAGAAATGGCAAACTACTACAGGAAAAAATGTGCCTCGTCAGTCATGTATCGAAATATACAGGATCGCCTAAGGGTGTATCACGCATGGCACATATTTAATTGACTGAATGTCGACAATTATTATTAATGTCTCATTATTTGATTTCATCTTTCATTTCGTTAGAAACGAAGAAATGCATACTGAACTGTTAGACAGTGAGGCAACAGAAATGTAGTTCTACTGAAGGACGCTGAGAATACCATGAACTGAACATGCGAGCAATAACAAAATTATAGAGACAATAGAAAAGAAAAGGATATTTGTATTTAGCATCATAAATAGACAGTTGACATTTCTAAGAAATATAATGAGGAAAGTGTACTTAGAAATTTTAACACTCACAGGATATATTGAGGGAAGGAAGCGCATAACCTACCTAACGACATTTTGGAAATTATTGGCAGAACAGGGATGAGGAGAGATCGCAAAGTGAGAAATTTATTTAGAGCTACGAAAGCAGGAAATTGTGGAGAGCCATGATCGCCCTTGTCCTGAAGCTAAGCTGATATATAGTATGGATTGTCCTCATTTTGAATTCTTGTAAAGAATCCATTTTTTCCGAATATATTGAGAAAAATCATTTGTTTTGTTTATTATTTTTGTTAAAAAGGGAATGAAAAAAATCAACATATGGTTGATGTTCACTTCTCAAATAATCCATGTGGATCTCATTTCTCTTTGCTTCAGTATTTTTCGTAGGTTTGCAAAAGACAATTGCGCAACAATAAAGAAAACAATTAACACAAGAGACACTTCTAAGATTTTTTTTAAAATGATGGTCATTTTTGCATCAATATTATAATATTTTTACTGTCATGTCCTTTCAGCACGGAAGGGATCATATTTTTTCATATGTCCATTTTCTTTATTAGCATTTGTGAATTGCCATGACTTTTAGGGAAACAATTGAACGGGTTCCTCTACTCTGATTTTGTTGTAACCTACACAAAGTTATTGAATGAGGAATAACCAAAACGGAGGTTGGAAATGAAAATAGTAATCTTTATAACGTCAACAAAATACAATACTCGCCAGCGGCGTGAAGTAGGTAAACCACTGCTAGCGGTGGACTACTTGGATAGCATATTACGATATTTACCTGCCTTCCCACGAGGTAGGATGCGGCACAAGGTTAATTATGATGTGGGAAATCCGAGCCCATGGGTTCGGGCAAAAACATTGCCCGTAGACCCCGGGTAGACGTCCAGGTTCCTCTCGAAGGCAGAGAGTTCGACATGGCAAGAGCTTCCCACGCTGACAGCTCAGTGTCATGGGTCCTATTACTACAGAATGAACTCTTCCTAACAGTATGTATACTACACCTTTCAAGAGAGAGGGACGAATCAAGCCGAACTTCTCGGTTTGACGGTCGAACTCTCTGCCTCTGAGCAGATAGGAACCCGGACGAGGCTCCGCCGAAGGGCAGAGTCTCGTTCGGGGAGGTTGACCAACCCGATCCCGTTTATACGGGTTCTACGGGCATTTTTTGGCCGAGACTACGGGCTCGGGAAACCCACGTTAAACTCGGCCTTGTGCCACATGCAACCCTCGTGGTGGGGGCTAGATCCCGAATCGAGTTGAGCCGATAGTAGTTCACTCCAAACCAGACTGTCAGTCATACTAACACCTTCCACATATTGTATTATTATTTCGTGTAATATACCTTCGTTATCTCTACTCTTGTGTTCGTGTTGTTCTTCCTTGGTCCTAATCTGGACCATAACACTCAGGCTGCCAGCGGAGATAGCAGATTACCCCGACTTACAATGGTGTGCAACGTATTTATGAGCATTGGGACATACCCATTAGTGTTCATAGACACGGTATATAATAGTTTTCCTTCTCCTAGATTGGCCTATGGCCATATCACGTTGAAACATCGATTCCCGTACGATCACCGAAGTTAAGCAACGTCGATCCTGGACAGTATCTAGATGGTAACCGCTTGGGAATAGTAAGTGCTGTAATTTTGGGTGTGCAGCTGGTGTAATGGATAATGGTTCAGAATTGTTAATCAGAGGACGGAGTTCCATATTCAGTTGGATTCGTTATATTCACTTTCGCGCAAATACACTTGTAAAGGTAAGAATCCACCATTTCCCCCAGCTATGGGTTAATTAGTAAGATTTCTATTACTATAACATTATTATCCCAACAAAAACAATATCTTAAAATCTAAAAATAATAAATAATTGCTGGCTTTAAATAACAGGCAAAGGGTTGATAAGTTGTAGAAAACTAGTCAATCTAGACTGGCTACCATTCAAAATTAGAGATCCTATACTCTTTTGTCTAATTCATTGCTTGTGGGGCAGGATGATGTAGAACCATGCTTTTTACAAGGATATTTTGTGAAGCGACCTGGCTGTAATTTGAACCCCGACTGCGATTTTATATGCATTCTGATAACCGGTAGGCTACCCGCACATACTCTTTAATATCATTATCTGTCAAAGAAAGACGTCAAAATTATTGCTACTCTTACCAGGGATCAATTTTGGCGCCTATGTAATAGTTCAGATTTTGAGGGTTGCATATCACTACAAGCCAGGCCCCCATTACGCGTCTTGGAAATATAAGCACAATAGGTTCTTTCTCCTTTTCGTTGTTTCCTGTGCAGTTCTATATGAAATTTAGATAATAACAAGAAACAGACCGACACGACTTCAAAATATACATTTTTGGGAGGCAGGAGGGTTTGAAACCATCACATCTATGATCAAAACAATCATATCAATCGGAAAAAAAATCGCACTCATCTTAACTGTCGATTACACTATAATTTGCAGTTTATAATGTAATACACTATTAACTTTAGAAAAGTAAGAAAAAAACTCCCTTAATAAGGGTGAGTATTATATCTAGGAATAAACTAGCTTCTTTTTTTTTTTAATACCTTTCATTTTTATAGATATTCAGCGTGTTCTCTCGTAAAAATGGCGTCGCCTATCAGATAATTATATTCCGTTCTCACTTACCAATAAAACGTCTATATTAAATACGTGTTATATGATACATAACAGATAGAGTTTATCCATTATTACGCACGTATAAACGAGAACTGTTATATAAAATACATAATTAAATAACGAATATATATATATATATATATATATATATATATATATATATATATATATATATATATATATATATAGGTAGTTAATTCGTTTTGAAAGGGAAAGAAAATGAACATTTCCTTTTCGATTTATTATCGAAAGGAAAGAAGAAATCGGGACGATTTTTATAATTCGCAGTCGACATTTTTATGGCGGAAATAATTTTCACAGAACTCAATATCAAGTTTTCTTAGGAACATAAGCATTTTTACAGCGCTCTATTTCTTCGTATCAAAAGGTTTAAGGTATTATATATGGAGATGGAAATAAAATGCCATCTGTGTATCTATCAAACTCATTTGGTGTTTATATATAATTCCAAAATGCTTGTTTATTTAGCATCTATTAACATCTATTATCGATCCATCTTTCTAGTTTGATATGTTAGTCTTTCAGTATTGAGGTAATTGATATTAACTAAACTTAGCTGCGCCTGCCACAAGGATAATATTCTATCACTCAGTAAAGAACAAATGTAGTACTTTTATACATCGTGCCACTTCAGAAATTAGGCGGTCATGGCCCCCCACTTCTTCCTAACCCCTTGTAGCTCGTAATGTTTTGTCTTTGTGTTATATCTCCCAGATCCTAATCTGCCATCCACTGTCAGGCGTTGCTTTCCCTTTGTCATTCTTTCCTTCTATCCGCCCTGTGAGTATCAGATTTTCCAAGCCTTCCTTTCTCATTACGTGTCGCAGAAATTTTCAACTACCTCTTCCTGATCTTAAGTATGTTTCCTTTTTGTTTACATTCTTCTGTAAAACCTCACCTTTGTTCTCTCGACTGCTTTCAGGACCTAGGCGATCATGGCTCTCCACCTCGTCCTGTACCTTGTAGCTCTCAATGTTTTGTCTTTTTCTTATTTCCCCCAGACTCTGCTCTGCCATCCACTTGCTCAAGCCCATTAAGTACGTCACGCGTTGCTTTCCCCTGACCCGCTTTCCCTCGATCCATACTGTGAGTATCAGATTTTCCAAGCCCTCTTTCCTCGTTACATGTCCCTGAAATTTCTGCTGTCTCTTGCTTATGTTAAGTATAGGTTTCTTCTTTGTTTCCATACTCTCCAAAACCTCGTCGTTGGTCACATGTCCGGCCCATGGTATCCTCAGCATCCTTCTGTAGAACAACATATCTGTTACTTCGAGTCTCTTCTTCATCTTTGTGGGGATTGTCCAACATTTGCTACTATAAAGGACGACAGATATCACATAACAGTGCAATACTCATTTCTTTGTTGTTTCCAACGAAACCTTTCCTGTCTCTTAATACTCTGCTTACCTTTTGGAAAGCATCTTTGGCCATCACAATACGTCTTCGGATCTCAATGTGACACTTTCCGTCCTCTGTTAGAACACTTTTCAGATATTTAAATTTCTGTACTTGTTTGATTTTGGTATCGCAGGCATGTAATTTGCATTTGGGGTTTATCTTTTTGCTGATGGCTATGAATTCTGTCTTCTTGTAGTTCATGCTTAGTCCCTTCTTCTTGCTCTCCTTCACTACATTTCCTTTCCGTGTCTGCTATCAGCACTGTGTCATCTGCATATCTTACATTGTTAAGATTGTAAATAGATTAATTCATATTGTATATACTCATTGGGGATCTTTTGAATTTGTTGTTTTAATCCCCTCGCACATACGACGATTTGTACATATGGGGACTATTTAGGATTTTCATTGAGACAATGAGGTATTATGGTGGATGTAGTAAGAATATGGTGTTTTGGTGTTAGGAATATTGTTTATATGCTTGGGTCAGTGCTTGTGGCTAGCTAAGTTTAAAATTAAGACAGATGAAGACCGTCCTTTTCACCATCCCCTTTTTTAGGCCTTGTGCCACATTTTCTGTAATTTTACAGAAATAAATATTGTAATAAATCCTGGTAAGATTTCTATTCTCAGAATCTCTGTATAGGTTGAATAAGTCCGGTGAGAAGACACATCCTTGTCTTACACCCCGATTTTTGTATATCTACTGAACTCATTTTTATTCGTATGCAGGGGGTTTGCTACCAGTAGAGATTTTTGATTATTTTAATGTCTTTCCTGAATATATCGAGGTTACTGAACAGCTCTAAAATCGTCTAATGCTGCCAGCGTCTCTTCTTGATACTAAGCATAAGTTTCCTCTTTGTTTTGAAGGACAGATATCGCGTAACAGTTCAGTACTCTTTTCTTTGTTTCCTGTCTCGTAATACCATGCTTAGCTTTTGGCCATCCCAATACGTCTTCAGATCTCAGTGTCGGACTTTCTGTCCTCTGTTAGAACACTTCCCAGATATTTAAATTTCTGTACCTGCCTGATTTTAATATCTCCAACCTGTATTTTGCATTTTAGGCTCACCTTTTAACTATGCATTCTGTCTTCTTGTAGTATACTTAGTCCCTTCTTCTCGCTCTCTTCGCTAGATTCTATAGGAGGTTTTGTAGATTCTTTCCCGTGCCTGCTATCAGCCATGTGTCATCTGCATATCTTACAATGATATCAGATATTTGTCATTTGCATATCTTATATTGTTAAGATTGTAGCAGAATTTTTTTTTTAACTCATTTTTATTCGTACGCAGACGGTTTGCTGCCAGTAGAGATTTTTGGTTATTCTAATGTCTTTCCCGAATATGAATTACTGAGTAATTCTAACAGATCTTTGTGGCTTACTTTGTCGAACGCCTTTGCATAATCTGTAAAACATAGGTACACGTCCTTCTGCATTTGTATCGCGCTTTCTGATAACCTTCTGAGCTTAAATATCGCGTTCCTTGTTGCATTGTATAAATCCATCTATGGTAAATTGTCGGATATTCTTGTTTATATAGCCTTGGTTGGCAGCTAGTCTAGGAGAATTAAAAACTCTAAATTCAAACCAGACTGCATAGACTTGGGCTCCGCCAGCGTATATTACCCAAGATACACCATTCTTGCTGCGGTTGCAGTACAGATGTTACCCCTACGACTGTAATGAGTTACGCGTCTCGTTCTGCGCATAAATATCGCGTTCCTTGTTGCATTGTCTTTGACGAACCCGCACTTTTCTTGTCCAGTCTCAGGCCCGATTTTGCTGTGCGCTCTGTTCGTCTGAATTCGGATGATGTGTTTTTTCATGCGGTTCATTAGTCTAGTAATACGGTGGAGTTCATATTCGCTTGTGCTTCGTTTCTTAGACAGTGCTATGAAAATAGATATACTTAGGACTTCCGGTGGCTGCACACTGTTGCAGATTTCATTTATTATTTCTGTAATCCTGTCTACGGCGAAAAAGTCTAAGGCTGCCAGCATCTCTATTACAATTACGTCTGTCCCATATCTATGTATCGATCTATCTTAGTCTATTCATATCCATCTATCGATCTATCTTAGCCTGTACATATCTATCTTTCTTTATCTATCTTAGTCTGTTCATCTGTCTATCTTTGTTCATATCTATCTGAAAGTGTTCCTATTTTTCTTACACTTTTCATATTTATCTTAGTGTGTTCATATCTATCGTTCTACCGACCTTTGTCTGTTCATATCGCTCTCTCGATCTTTCTTAGTTTGTTCATATTTTAATCTGTTCCTTTCTATCTCTAATTTCTATCTATCTATCTATCTATCTATCTATCTATCTATCTATCTATCTATCTATTCTATCATATCTATCTATCTATCTATCTATCTATCTATTCATATCTATCTATCTATCTATTCTAATTTTATCTATCATATCTATCCATCTATCTATCTATCTATATCTATCTATCTATCTATCTATCTGTCTCTCTGTTCATATCTATATCTATCTATCTATCTATTCTAATTTACTCATATATCTATCTATCTATCTATATCTATCTATCTAATTTACTCATATCTATCTATCTATCTATCTATCTATCTGTCTGTTCATATCTATCCTTATCTATCTATCTATCTATCTATCTATTCATTCATATCTAATTTCTATCTCATATCTATCTATCTATCTATCTATCTATCTATCTATCTATCTATCTATCTATCTGTCTGTCTGTTCATATCTATCTCTTTCTCTTTGTTAATTTATCTATATTAGTCTGTGCTTATGTATCTAATTCTGTCTGTTCATATCGATCTTCCTTAGTCCGTTCATATCTATCAATTTATCTTAGTCTATGCATATTTATTTAGCTATCTATATTAGTCTGTCCGTATCTATCTAGATTATTCTGTTTGAATCTATCTTCCATTTCAGCTTTTAGTATTTCCGGCCCATCGGTATTTTTGGAGTTTCGTCGTGGAAGAGATCTCCAATATAAGATTGAAGAATTATTTCTTTCTCTAATATGAGCGTTCCGTCTTTAGTTTTTATGGAACCTATTGATAAGAATGTCTTAAGTCCTGTTCCCTTAACTTTGTATTTTTTATTTATTAAGCAAATCACCCCAAGCAAGGCGGGGGTCTCACAAGTGATTGCAAAGAGTGTGAGTACGAGTAAAAAGTAGTGCTTGGGAAAAAAAAAGATAAAGAGAAGGACAAGATCAAGATCAAAGCATCAGAAGATGTCGATTGACATTACATTTGAATCTTTGAGGATTATAGCTATCAGGGAATCAAGTGATAGGAATGGAGTTCCGTTGACGGGAGGTGCGAGAAAAGAAACTGTTTGAGTAGAAGAGATGACTACATTTAACTGTTTCAACAGTAAAAGGGTGGGATCGAGATGCCAAACTAGTAACTCGCTTAAATTCATGTAGTTTGAAAACCTGTGAAAGTAGTTCGTCAGATCAGTTGCCATGAAAATACGTGTAGAAAAGACAGAGGGAAGCCACATCTCATTTGTAAACGGGATGCCAGATCAGGACCAATCATGTTGCATATCAGTCTCTGGATTTTGTTGTATGCATATTTCTTTTATTTGTGATACCCATTCTCTCTATTTCTGCACATTATTTGGTGACTTACTATTCCTTAGCCTGTCTGCATTTGTTTCTTATGTCACGGTGTAGTTTTCTGTATTCTATCCCATGTCTTGGCATAGCTTTCTGTCTCCTTGGCATCATGTTGAGAAACTTGTCTGTGATGTATTCGTTTTTTCTTCTTCGTCCATTCTACTTTGGCATGGCGTCGTTTACTGACGTCACTTCATTTAGTGTGTCCTATTTTGAGTATCCATTTCCATTTTGTCCTTCATATCTTCTTTTCACACTGTCCATATATTTTTCATTCAGGTTCAAGTCATTCTTGCATTACAATCTGGGTGCTACGTTAGGCTTCCTTAGTTTCCGTGATTTCATTCATAGTTTTCATATAACTGGGAGGTAAGCGCTTCGGTAGTCGGCAATTGAATAGGTCTTGCAGTGAACAATTGCATTCCTGAATCTTTTGTTTATAGTTGACTACGCAGTCGTAATATTCGGTTAGGATAATTTGTTAATTATTGGCCAATGCAAATTGTTCATATCTATCTATCTATCTATCTATCTATCTATCTATCTATCTATCTATCTATCTCAGATTTTTTTCTTTCTTTTTTGTCTCAGACAATACTTTATATTTTCTATCAGAATTTAGTAATATCTATCTATCTATCTATCTATCTATCTATCTATCTATCTATCTATCTATCTATCTATCTGTTTGTTCATGTATGTCTACCTATTTACACACACACACACACACACACATATATTAAAATGATTTTTTAAATATGATTCCATCGCTACATAGGAACTACGATGTTTCAAAAACAGAAGCTAAAAAATTATAATTCAATTACAGAAATTAAATTAAAGTTATAATTGAATTAGCTTCTGTTTTATTTTCTGTGTAGCGATGAAATCATATTTAAAAAAAATAGTTATAATTTAGGTTCTACTTGTGTATCGAACACTGTTTTTTAAAAAAAAAAAAAATACTAAAGAACTTCGGATCATCAATCTAACGGTTCTTTCCTATTTTATCAATATATTTGCACACACACACACAGACATATATATATATACACATATATATATATATATATATATATATATATATATATATATATATATATATTTTAATTTTTTATTTAAGTGTGTAAAAAACAGTCCAAATGTTCTGCATATCTAAGCGCTTTTGGCTTTTCTTTTCAGCCATTATCGAAGGCAATCTTCTTTTTTTTTTTTAAATTTTATTTTTAACTAAATATGTGTCATTTATATATGTGTCCGCCAGAGTCCGTCCGTAAAATACTAGTAGAAAATACAAGTGTAAAAGACTTATTCGCATTTAAAAAAGGATTAAAAATAATGGAAGCCCTAAAAATAAAAAGTAAAAGCCAAGACTCAATATTACTAACTGTGAACACGCTCACAATGTGCTGACCGTGCTCGAAAAATAAAACATTCCTGTAATTTTAGAAACATGCATAAAAACCAACATATTTAGTTACTATATATATATATATATATATATATATATATATATATATATATATATATATATAAGCTCAATCTTTAAAATATAAACCAAGGGCTCTATTGACAGAGTCTAAATATAATCTATTATAATAATCTTGTTAATACGTTATAACATATACGTCCGATTATAGTTGTTGCCTGACACTCTGAGCATCGGATTTTTATATTACTGTAATAATAATAATAATAATAATAATAATAATAATATATATATATATATATATATATATATATATATATATATATGTGTGTGTGTGTGTGTGTGTGTGTGTGTGTAGTTTAAAAAACAACATTACATCACCATTTTTCTACAGATCCATTATTCATGAACCAAACTTATCTCTCCCGAATACATAAAAAATCAATATATATACAAAATACGAACGGGATCTACTCTAATGAAAACTTGTTCAAAGTATCCTGCAGCGTCTCACTAAGCTTTATATAACTTAACTTCCAGAATGTTGTCTTACACTTATTTGAATATTATCTGTTACTTCCTTGCACGTACCACGAATTCAATAAAACATCATACTGCATCTCACTAACTTTTACACGCTTTAGAGTCGAGAATGTTTGCCACACATATTTAAATATTATCTGTTGCTTCAATACACGTGGCACGTATCTAAGCAATGAAATAGCCTAACACAATATACAATTAATCTGCGTCTCTTTGCTTTTTATCAATTTTTTATCATTTCTGTCTTGATCTCTGACGAAGCGTTAATAAAATGAAACATGTTAGATTAAGATCTGTTTTCCTACATGTTCATTATCGTATCATTTTGTCTGTTTCGTATCCATAATCGATGTTCTCTCTCTCTCTCTCTCTCTCTCTCTTCTCTCTATATATATATATATATATATATATATATATATATATATGTGTGTGTGTGTGTTCATTTTTATATATATATATATATATATATATATATATATGAGATAAAATATAGTTTTAAGGTATATTTATACGTTAAAAGCGATCAAAATCAGTGATAGAGCGCCTATAACCATTAGAAGTGTGGGCACCGATGTCAAAATGAGTTGCAACAGACTGTTACATGTATGCACGTAAACTACAGTCCATGTGGCTTGCAAGATAGCTCGACTATTTACGAATGGCTAAAGTCGAGGTATAATCATGAAACTGCCTGTCGTTACCCGGTGTTGCCATAATTCTCTCTCATATATATATATCTATATATATATATATATATATATATATATATATATATATATATATATATACAATGATTGGACAAAACAATTGGAATACTTGTAAAATTCAAAGAAATTTTTTTAATATGGAGTTGGTCCTCCTTTAGCCTCGCAGACAGCTTTAATACGTCTAGGAATGGAATCGTACAGCTTCCTGACTTTATCCATAGTAATTTTAAGTTATTCTTCCATTAAAACATTCTCCAGCTCTTTACGACACGACGATGGAGGATAGAGGCTCCTAAATTGTTGCTCCAAAATGCACCACAAATGTTCAATAATATTGATATCTTGAGATTGTGGAGGCCACTCCATGTGTTTTAGCTCACTTTCATGCACTTTATACCAATTCTTAACCACTCGAACGGTATGTATTGGAGCATTATCGTCTTGGAAGATGCAGTCGCCATCAAGGAATAAATTCTGGGCCATTGGATGAACATGATTTCCCAAAATGTTCAGGTAATCTTTGTTGTTGATTCTACCATGCCGGGCAACTATTGGACTGAGACATTTCCATGATATGGGGGCCCAAACTATCACTGATCAACCTCCTTGCTTCACTGTTGGAAGAAGGCAGTCAGGGTTGTAAGCTTCTTTGTGCTGCTTCCACACATAAACTCGTCCTGAAGTTGGGAAAAGAGAAAAACTGCAGACCAGACATTGTGATCTCTGCACCACTTCAACTTCTTTTGAATGTTGCGAGTGGAGAGAAGAGGTTTCCTCACAGCGGCTCTTCCATGATATGCAGCCTCATGAAGCTCATGATGAACAGTTTTAGTAGAAACTGAACTATTCAGATGGTTATTCAACTCAGCAGTCACTTTGGCCGCATTTATCCGATGATTTTTTGCCACATTGCGTTTCAATGCACGACAGTCCCTGTCAGTAAATTTGTAAGTCCGGCCCGAATTGCTACGGTTGCTAGAGGTCTTGCCCTGTTTCTTGAATTGCATCAGTGTTCTTGATATGGTAACTCTTGAAAAACCAAACAGTTCAGCAACCTTAGTGATCGAGGCTCCTGCCATGCGAGCTCCAACAATTTTCTCTTTTTCGAACTCGGAGAGGTCACGCACTTAGCTTAAATTTTACTAAATTCTAAAAAATAAATAAGACAAAGAAAGTAAATTAGATAAATAAATGTTTTTACAATAGATATAAGCTGCAATTACGAAGTTTTAGTTAAAGTTCTTAATATAATAGGTCTTTGAAATATACGAGTGGATTTTGCAACTGTTCCAATTATTTTGTCCAACCCCTGTATATATAGTGATTTTCCAAGCGTAGCTTAGATGTGCCACAAGGCCGAAATTATGGCGCACCCAGTAAGGATTGCACTCACTACTCAGTCGTAATATGAGGAAGCAGAGACAAGCTTGCTAAACCATTACACCAACTCGAAGTGCCCAAAGCTCTGTATATATATATATATATATATATATATATATATATATATATATATATATATATATATATATTCTGTTGGTACCATTAGTTTTATTTAAGTAAATGGTCTGGTTTTAATTAAACAGTATTAATTAAATTTACCAGCCTGAATGTATCGGGAAATTCTGTAGAATATATGCGTCCTCCGATAGAAATCGAAACTGCATTCCTATACGTAAACCATTATTTGATCTGACCTGCTGCAGTGATGATTTTGGTTAAGAAAGTCCGCATTGCTGTTCATTTCCTGTGGCTAAATGGTTTAGCACGTCAGATCAAATGACAGTTTCCTTATAGGAAAATAGGTTCGATTCCTGTTGAAAAACGAAAGACAAGGTTGCGTCTTCTCGCCGGACTTATTCAACCTATATAGCGAGGCCACACTCTTAACAACATAGTATATGCAGATGACACAGTGCTGATAGTAGGTATAGAAAGGAAACCATAAGCACTTCTACAGAACAGAAGGTAGCGAAGGAAAGCAAGAATAAAGGACTAAACTTCAAATGCATGAAGACTCAATGCAGGGTTGTTTACAAAAGAAACAGCACAACATGCAAATTACAAATTGGAGAAACCGAAATCAAACAGGTGCAGCAAGTTAGATATTTGGAAAGAGTATTAACAGATGATGGTAAGTGCGACACGGAAATCCGAAAGTGCTTTGGGATAGCGAAAGATATCTTCTAAAAGCTAAGCAAAGTATTAAGAAATAGGAAAATATTGCTAGAAACAATGAAAAGGGTACTGAACTGTTATGTAGTATCAGTCGTCCTATATTTATTCAGTTAGCGCATTTTGTACCGCTATGTTCACCCCCACCACCTTCATCTCACAATTGTGGTTCATGGTAAATTTCAAGGCAGTGCAATGGCTTGCCGATTCCTTTTGCATAGGGGATGTTGAGGTTACTCCGTTTCTTTTCCTAGAATTTAAAGAGGCAAGACCTACAATGCAGCAGGTGCTTTGAATTCAGAGATTTCTTTTTCCTAGACTGGCCATGGTATATAAAAGCCGATGCGCTACCCAGACTACATGCACTCCACGCTCGACCGGACCGACAAGCTCGAAAGGAATACAGGGTATAACATTTGGGGACAGATTAGTTGCACGAGTTGCTGGAATGTTGAAACTCCCACGGGCCTCCACTCCGGGATTTACTTCCATAGCCTATTTTCGATATGACCGCAAGAGGTTTTAAATCAAGGTTTTCCTTCCCCTTTCTGGTGTATCGAGCTCCATCTACCCGAAAACATACGATATATAGCAGTACTACCGAAAGATTATCTTGTATGATGTGTAATCTACGATATTAATGCTTTATAGGATTTGATGTTGAATTTAATGCGTTTATCAGTAGATCTGACGAAGTGTAAATGTGCGCCAAGATATACTGATGCAATATACGATCAGTATTTTGTACTAAAAATCTTGAGATCAACATGTACGTCAGGTCGACTTGTACTCCCGGTCGACTTGTACGCTCGGTCGACTTGTACGCTGAAATTTACGGTATTTGTTTGTAAAAGGATTTTTCTGTTTCTTAATACATTATTTACCTTTTGGAAGGCATCTTTTGCAATGTCAACGAATCTTTGGAATTCCTTGTCACATTGTTGTCTGTTAGAACACTTCTAAGATTTTTTTTGTTGTGCTTTTGATGTCTTCAATTCGGAGCTTGCATACTGGACTCTTAAATATATAGAGATATGTTTATCATACGTTGTAAAATGATGTTTCCATAGGCCATGAAAAGTTCCTCCTCACCCTTCCCTGACTCTGAGAGACCATGAAAATAGTCATATGCCGTTTCAGCTCGCATGTATCCGGTTTCATGTATCAAGTTTTATGTATCATGTTCTAAGGTGGAAAAAGTGACGCATTTTACTATGTGAAATTGAACATGATGTATTACTCGCACTCTCCATTATCCGTATTACAGCTTCTTGTATCTTTCTTTCTTTCTTTCTTTCTTTCCTTTCTTGTATCCATGCATTCATCTCTTCTTTCTTTCTTTCTTTTTTCTTTCTTTCTTTCTTTCTTTCTTTCTTTCTTTCTTTCTTTCCTTTCTTGTATCCATGCATTCATCTCTTCTTTCTTTCTTTCTTTCTTTCTTTCTTTCTTTCTTTCTTTCTTTCTTTATCCTTTCTTTCTTTCCTTTCTTGTATCCATGCATTCATCTCTTCTTTCTTTCTTTCTTTCTTTCTTTCTTTCTTTCTTTCTTTCTTTCGTTTATTTCTTAACGATTAACCCTCTCTGCTTTGATTTTCATTTTCTTTCTTACAACTGCTTCTTTCTTTCTTTTTCTTTCTTTCTTTCTTTCTTTCTTTCTTTCTTTCTTTCTTTTCTTTCTTTTTTTCTTTCTTTCTTTCTTTCTTAAAGACTGCCCTCTCTTCTTTCATTCTAACTTTCTTTTTATAACTCTTACTTTTTCTTTTTTCTTTCTTTCTTTCTTCGCTTTCTTTCTCTCTTTCTTTCTTTCTTTCTTTCTTTCTTTCTTTCTTTCTTTTCATTTAGGTATCTAATCATTTTATCCATTCCACTTCAGCTACTTTCTCTAATCTTTATCCTTCCCCAGTTTCTAATATATTCATTCACGTACTCTTTCATTCGTTCTTTTCTCTATTTTTTAGATTCTCTTTCCTTTTCCTGCCTAAAGTAAGTCGATAGAGCTGCCTGCCAAATTCTTCTCGTTCACGCACCGAGTCGCCAATAAATATTTCAGCGTTCTGCCGTAATACCACCGGTTTTCTTTTTTTATGATCAGAATGCAAAAGGTGTAATAACATTTTAGAATAAAATTCGCAAATAAATCCCGAACCATCCACATCTTACTTCCATTAAAAGTAGAAAAAAAAAACAAACAAGGAGTAAATGAACAGGGAAGGTACACTGCATCGCACGAAGACTATCCAGTGCCTATAGGACAGATTGGTCAGACGTAGTTGACAAAATTCATTTTCTCTCATTTTCCGTTAATGTACATTTAACTCTAAAAGCTTTAAAAGAGTCGAGTCAATTTTCGGATAGGTTTTTTTTTTTTTTTTTGCATGCTAACGCTTTAAAATATTTTAGTAGATACAGATTAATTTCATTTTTTATAAACTTTGAATTTTACTATCTTAAAATCAAATCTTACAAATGCCCAGCACGTAATTCTTGGAGTCCAAAAATTTGCATATAGATATTAGCCAATAGGCTCAAGATATGAAGAAACTGGTCAACAAAAAGATACACAGATAGGAAGTGGAAAACAAGGAAGAACAAAAGCATAAAAAGGAATGTAAATACTGCTAAATAATTAGCGATATATATATAGAGAGAGATAGATATGAACAGACTCATATATATATATATATATATATATATATATATGTACATTTACCAAAATTACTAAAATACGTAAATCTAGAAAGAAACTTTAGGTGAAATACATATAAATGTAAAAAGCAGCTGTGTTTGAGCTGAAATATAACTGTATACATGAAATTAATACTGTAATGTATTACGATAAAGCCAATATATATATATATATATATATATATATATATATATATATTATTAAAACTAAAATGTAGTATTGTAGGCCATGATAAGTTTTAAAATAAAACACACCAGTCGACCGGTTTCGTCCCCTCTCGTCAGAACTGTTAACGAGAATTTAGATTATGAGAAAAAAAAAAAAAGTCTGTCATGGGGTGACATGAATGAATGGACAGGAAAAAAAAAAATTAAAAAAATATATATTAAAATTATTCCAACCAATAATTAAAATTATACCAACCAATATTAAAATTATACCAACCAATGGTTGGTATAATTTTAATATATATATATATTTTTTTTTCTTTCCATGTCCATTCATTCATGTCACCCATGACAGACTTTTTCTTTTCCTCATAATCTAAATTCCCTGTTAACAGTTCTGACGAGAGGGGACGAAACCGGTCGACTGGTGTGTTTTATTTTAAACTTATCATGGCCTACAATACTACATTTCTAGTTTTTAATGCCTTAATACGCTTTTTCAAACCTATTTCAAACCTATTTATATATATATATATATATATATATATATATATATACTATCAAATTTTAGTTGGTAGGGATTATTCAATGAGGTTTCTTTAATAAAAAATATTAAAAAAGTTATCTCCATGATGAGAGGTCAATGTATAAATTTATATACAAAGCATTATAAATAAATAAATAAATAATAAGGAAAAGACTTAGTCATCATAAAATCGGTTATAAATTTAATTCAATAGTTACATATATATATATATATATATATATATATATATTATAGATATAGCTAATATTAGTGGTAAATATACACATACATATGCAAAATATATATAAATATATATACATACATACATACACATACATATATATTTGTATAATAAATAATTCCAAGAGGATAGAATCCAGGTAGAACTCAATGTCCAGAACAGAGTAAGGATATAATAAAAAGGCTTAAACACTAATACTCCATGGTTATAATTTATTCCATTCGAATCGTAAATATGATCCAATTCATCCGATCTCAGAAAACAGAAAAAACAACTCCGGAAATAAAAAAATAAAATTTAGAGAGAGTGTAAGTATGAGAGTGTGGGACGAATGTTAGAGCTATAGAGAGGGGTAACAGACGATAGAAGGTGGGGGATTAAAATTTAACAGAGAGAAGTTTTAAAGAGGGGTGTCAAAGACGGTTTAAGTGAGAGAAATATGAATGTTCTCGGATGTCTAATACCTACTGGAAAGGATACATTTTGTGGTGACATACACACACAATAGACGATCTAATCTTAAAGATCAGAACATGAGAGAGGGAGAGGAAAAGAAAAGAAAAGAAAAAGGGGTGGGGGAGAGAGATGGGGCGGGGGGGAACTAAAACTGAAAGGCATTTATAAAAGGGCCGCTGTGTAATTAATAAAATTTGACAAAATTAATATCGACTACAGGTTACAATGTGAATTTGTAGGTCTGATGAACGTATTTACGGTTCTAAGGGAATAAATTTTGACCATCGAATATTACTGTTTTTATTATATATATTTATATATATATATATATATATATATATATATATATATATATATATATGTTTGTATGTGTGAGTTTAGTCGGTTTGATAAAAGGCGGGTATATATATATATATATATATATATAGTCGGTTTGATAAAGCGGATATATATATATAAATACACATATATGTTGAAATAAATTTATAACCGATTATATGACTAATTAAATATATATATATGATAAAATATATGGTATGTTATATTTATGGGTAAAGTTCTCAGTATTAGAGATAGAGCGTATGTAAAAATAAAAGATTTAAGAATATTGCGTTCAAGTAAGAAAAAGACTGTTGCCACTCGTGTTCTTATATATATATATATATATATATATATATATATATATATATATATATATATATACGTATTGTAAGATAAAAAGAACATACAGGAAACGTTTATCAATCTCGCATGTTTCCCTTTTATTAAAGCCCCATCAAAAAATGAGATATGGAGAAAGAGAAGAAATAAATTCTGATATTTTGAATTTTTTCTTTTCCTCCATGTCACATTCTCTGATGAAGCTTTAATAATGGCGAAAGATGTTTGATTAATAAATGTTTCCTATCTGTTCTTTATTTTATCATTCTGACGCATTCTCATTTTTCTCATTAGACCTGATATTGGGTGTTTTACCCATAAATTTATCATACATTAAGAGTATATTTTATCACACACACACACACACACTCACACACACATATATATAAATATGTATATGTAATAAAATGACAAAATGGAAAAAAATCTATATAACGCATTTCGTCCTTCAAAAGGACTTCATCAGACTTAAAAATACAAAACGCATTACATTGAGTTTTTCCATTCAATTACCTATCATCATTCGGATATACTGAGATTATGTTTCCTCCCTGCGCGCGCGCGCGCACACACACACACACACACACACACAGTGTGTGTGTGTGTGTTTGCCTGTGTGTGTGTGTGTATTTATGTATTTGACGAAACAATATTTCTTTACACACACATACACATACTTTATATTAAGCGATAGATAGAAATATAGATAATGAGAGCTCCCGTGTGTGTGTGTGTGTGTGTGTATGTTTGTGTGTCTATATATATATATATGTGTGTGTGTGTGCGTGCGCGTGTGTGTGCGCGCGTGTGCGTGTGTGTGTGTGTGTGAGCGTGCGCGCGCGTGTGTGTGTGTGTGTGTCTGAAATGGTGACATAAGGTAATACATAATAAGTATATAACTAATCAAGGAAAAATATATTAGATTCGTTTGCGTGTCTGAAACCCCCGATGAAACAATTTTTTTTTCATATTAGAGCAATTGAGGAAGGCCATTAAAGCAGCAGCAGCAGCAGCAATTCAATAAATAGGCAAATCCGTGTGTATGTCGCGCGAATGAACCCTTGTGTACGTGCAAGTTTTATTCTTGCCGCATTTTTTGAGTTATCACGTTCTCATTCTTCATCGACTGCCTGTCACATCCCAACCGTTATCAGCATATTCTTTAAGCACTTGTACTGTATAAATATAAGTACTGTATAAAATAAAATTGCCTTCCAGACTCAAGGGATTCTGATAGGACCAGCTTAAAATGATAAAAAATAAAGAATAAAAATGAAGATTCCTTACGAAGGCAAGAGATTATGCTTACGAGTAGAGCGCATTTGCAGTGGAGATATTTAGAAAGAAATCCATATTTATAAGCACAAGGGATTCTGGGAAGATCGGACGTCATGATCACATCTGAATGTTTCTGTAGCTTAGACAATACTGAGTTAAATAAATCTTTACTGAATCTGTGGCGATTAAATAAAGAGGTAATCTAAAGACAATTCCGAGATTACGAGACAAAACAAAGGTTTTATTTAACAGAGGATTTCTTATATGCAGGCAGCCGAATCGTTACTGATACAGAAGTGGGATCGACATGCCGAGTTCTAATTCCGCCTATTTCATTCACTTCGCACGAATGCTCCGGCAAACTCTGATCCCCCTGAGGGTTAAATAGCAGAACTGACTGTGCTTGAGTAGCAACCAGTCTAGGAGAAAAGCATCTTTTAATTCAAAGCCAGCCTGAGGAAAGATGGCCGTCGTCAGGATATCTTACCCTAGACACACCCACTGCTACTATGGCTGTATTACAAGTGATTCCTACACAACCCTAAACGGCTAAGGAATTTGTGATTATGATCGCGATATACGGATAGGGTACCTGTTACTGGCACGAAAAATGGAATCTATGAAAGGATTTCAAATTCCAGCCTCGGCTATTGGGTTGACTTTTCCTCTGAGGAAATCCATTAATCTATCT